TTAAAAAAAAAAAAAAGTGAGGGGAAGGAGTTTATGTTAAGTCGGTCATTCTTAATAATATATCAAAATTATTTATTTATTGGGTATTAGAATAGAAGATAAGAAAAACGAACTTTTGCATGTATCATGCACCAGGCTGCGACGAGCCCGGCGATGGCGCTGAGGCACCGAGAGAGGTTACGGTTAGTTTATTTTGGAGGACGTGGGCGGCTAGGGAGGTTAGTGAGGCGATGGCGCCGGAGGAGAAGTAGAGGGAGAGGAAGTCAGCGCGGCCGAGTTCTTCGTGGACTGATGGTTTAAATTTTCAGTTGTTAGATGCAGCTTCTGTCTACTTGAGAATTTCAGGTTGGGAGATGGAAAGACATATGGCTCTACAAAAGACAGGTGAGAGTAATAATAGGATATAAAAAAAAAAAAATAAATAAATAAAAGTCACTTACGTCTCGTCCCGATAAACCACAAAATCAACATGTTGGCACCTAGATGTCGGATTTGCTGGTGGCTGAATATGCTGCCGATGATACTTACTGAGTAAGGATACAAGGGCACGCTAATGAAATACCGATTCAGCATTCTCCAGGCGGGAGGGACGGCTCGCCACATGGCGTAGATGAGAACATTGGTGCCAATGAGGCCAATCACGGTTGCTGCGGCGGGGGGTGTATTGGGCATCAAGCGCTCGTGGCGGGGCGCTGGCTCGTAATTTTGAGCGAGGACATAGCAGAGGCCTATTGTTAGGAGCGTAATACAGAGGGAAGGGAGGATTCTGCGGGCCTGTTTGTCATTAGTTCTCCCGATTTTTTGTTCTCCTCTTTTAGCTTCGTGTTCGTTTTTTTGGGACATACCATGGACAGTTTTGAGGTATCCCAATCATTTGCTGTAGCTCGAACATGATGCTGTTGCACCCACGCCAAAGCAGGACGAACGTTCGGATCCGCACGAGGTTTGGCTAGAGGGAGGTCACAGTTAGACAAAACTAAGCAAATTTGCGTGTCATGTATGTAATTGAGTAATCGTAGAAGACCGAGGATATAACTATACCTTCCATAACCGCCGCCTCCTCGAACTTCTGCAACTCCATGTTTTTCTGCATGCTCTGCCTTAGTTTTTCCCGATCCTTCGCCTCGCCTTCCATCCAATCTCGTCTCCATTTTTCATCTTCCAACCTATTCCTCCGCTCGTTCGCCTCCCGCTGTTCCTGAAGAACACTCTTTCCGTAAACGTCGCCTTCCTTCTCAATGGGCTTGTCGAACTTCCCGCTCTGCGGCTTATATAGGCCAAGTTCCTGACCACGCTTGATGAGCTTCTGTTCCTCTGCAATCTCTTCTCTTTCAATCCGTTTCAGAATCGCAGCATCCTCATCCATGGGGTACCTTTTTCGCAGCCACTCTAGTCCCGTCAATATCGTACTCTCTGCGACAGCCTTCCTAATATCGGCTGGGAGATCAACATCGATGGTACCTGTGATACGACGTTCTTGGAGGATTCGAAGAATCCTATTGCCCATCGGTACTGAAATCTGCAGCTCTGGACCAAATATCTGGGAGATCTCGTGGGCAGAGAGATCGCGGGCTCTGAAACGGACGCCTTCTTCGCGTTTATTCAAGCGAGGAGTAGTTCGCGGGGCTCTGGCGGAGGAGGGAAGGGAAGATGAGAACGTTCGGGACGGAGAAGAAATTCGGGAGAGGCATGATTGTAATACCCCCGTGAATCTAACGGGTTTTAATATATTCTGGGGGATAATGGCCGTATCCCGCAAGCTACTCATGGAGCGGACTGTATATCTGTGGCCCAGAGGGTATAGTATCTGGAGAAAGGTGAGAGGAGCTGCATGGGGAGAGGGCGAGGGGCGAATGCCCATGCACGGTATTCGCCATGCTACCGAGAAAACATTGTTCATCTCCCACGGCTCAAGGGTGATCTCATATGGCTGCAGATAGGGTCTGCAATATCGCACGTTGATTTGTATGTCGTTCGGAGAATTTTTTGGCGGGAGAAATTTGGGCGCGGATCTGAAGTTCGGTCGGTGCTTATTCCATAGATCAGCCGCAACTAGCGCCCCTTGGATCTTGGAAAGGTCATAAATACGGGATATTGTAGCAGTTAAATCGCGCTTAAATACATCCTTTTCGCACATCTAACTTGGTTTTAAGGGGACCAGGCTTGATTTTCTATTCTTTCCTGGAGCCTAAAGCGGGAGCTACTGACATTGCTGTGTAAATAGCGAAAATGCTCTGCGATAAGGCGTCAAGAACATATAA